TTTCTTCCTGAAGTTGTGGGTGATTTATCACTGAAGGTTTTAAAGAAGAGATTGGATAGCCACTTGTCTTGAATGGTATAGGGTTCCGTGTTTGAGCAGGAAGATGGACTAGAAGACCTTCAAAGTCCCTTCCAACTCTGTTATTTTGTATACTATATATATTGTGTATGTGACCCTTTTTTTAAACTATTAAAATGTCAGCCAGTTTCATTTGTAGGTCCTGCTTAATATCTTTGCCAATATCATTTTTGTATCCTGTCAATTTTAAATTTATTTCGAAACAACTTCATTTTGTTACATCCTCTTCTATTTTTTTCTTTTAAGCCCCTTTTTATTATGTCAGACAGTCTAAAGAGTAAGTTCTGGGTACATTGTTGCCAAATCTTCCTAAATTCTTCCAGAGTTAAAATATATTTCTCCATTCTCTATTAATGGGAATTATCCTTTAATTATAATCTTTAATTATTTCTGGCTGCCTCTAGTAACCAGCCTTCAAAGTCTCTTCCTCTTATCCAGAACTTTTTCCCAGGAAGAGATTTCTTAAATTTACACTCAATCATCATATATTTTAATAAGATTTTAAATAAATTACTGGAAATATTCTTATAACTTTTTCAAAGACTTGTTTTCAGTCAATCTGGCTCTCTAGTCCATTTAAATTTTTTACAAAACCACCCTTTTGTAACTTATTTCCAAGTTTAAAAAGGGGTTTAATTTTAAAGGTTCAACTTACCTAAATTTCCTTTCACTCCAGGTTGGAGGAAAATCACCCAGTATAATAAAACTGGACATTCTTAATGTCCAAAAAGCAATTTATAAGCTACTTCCAATAAAAGTGATTAAGAAGGGAAGTGAGCAAACTCACTGTCTTTTTGAAAGGCTCCAAACCATGGCTTAGGACCAGGATATTTGGCGGACCACTTACAGCCAGCAACGATATCCCATTGCCCGGTTCGCGCCCATAGAGGGGGCCTACTCAGGGTGCCGTCGGCTAGACAGTGGCGGCTGGCGGCCCCCAGGGGTAGAGCCTTCTCGGTCGGTGCACCCACCCTCTGGAATCAACTCCCCTTGGAGCTCCGATTAGCTCCTGACCTTCGCACCTTCCGCTGGGAATTAAAAACTTGGCTTTTCAAATCCCTTGACCTGGACTGATGATGGGGTTTTAATTGGTTTTAAGGGTTAATTTTAATTTTTTTTAGATTTTGGTCTTTATTTTATATTGTGGCTTGTGTTTTATTGTTGTGAGCCGCCCTGAGTCCATTGTGAGATAGGGCGGCATATAAGCCGAATAAAATAAAATAAAAAATAAAAAAATAAAAATGGCTTGGGCATTGCTGTCCCTCCCAACTCCCAGAGCTCTAAAATCTGTTGGAGATCGGTGTTTTATGGGACTATCTGCAAGGACACCCAAGTGATTCCAAGTCTCTCTCCTTCATCCAGAGAAGAACTTGGGAAGCTGCTTCCTTCACCGGTTCCACTTTCCACCATGATTATTGCCTATGTTAACAGTGAAGCCGTCTTAGTCGGCCATTGCTTCCCCAGAAATGGGATATTTTGTCTTTCAATATCATTCTACCACTGATGATGCTATCTAGTTTGAGTAATGAAACATTGGCAAGAAAACAACCAAGGTCAGAAAGCACCAAGGACCCCTCTTTTCAATATTTAGCAGACCATGTTACGTGGAGAATTAAAAGAAATACATGGACACCAATTTAAGGCAACCAATCTCTCCTAGACATTTGGTTAAAGAATCATATATAATTATCAAGAACTGCTTTATTCCAGCTTACTTTTGGAAATATATATCAGGGATTTTTTAAAAACTTTAGAAATAAAAGGTTGTTATAACTTATTATGTGCTATATGTATGTGTCAGTGGAGCCCAGCAAAAACTGTTAAAAGTAAAACAAAAGACTGCAATTACCAAAGCATGTTAAAAATACATTCCCCTCATTATAGTAAGACATTATTTGCTCAATTCATGATTTGCTGAAAAAAAAAACAAGACTGGTGCTATGGTTTATAAACTATAAAGGCATATTATTAGAAGGCTGGAAAATATTTATAAAATTGGTTAATTAATTGCATAATAAACTAGATTTCTCTTCTTTTAGTTGCATGACTACTTGCTAGTCCATGGCTGCCAAGTGTTCTTCAAACACCAGCTACAGTATATAGTTTTAATATAATATAAAGTCAATGTTTAGTTTTCATTTAAGCAGTGTATCAACAGTTAAATTAAAAAAAGCAAATGTTAGAATGGGGAAAATAAATTTTTGAGAGGATCTAAAAATATTTGTTTTCTTAAAGAGACAGATAAAAATTTATCTTTATGCAATATATGTTTTAAAGTTTGATAGAAGATAGGATTCCAAAATAATTTATCTCAATATCTTCTAGTCAAGGTATTATTAGCCAGGTTCAGGTATACCACTAAACCATGATTTTAATCATGCTTTGCTTACATTATAATAGCTGTTTGTACACTATATATTAAACCATAAATCATGATTTATAAACCAAAGATTCAGTTCAGAGATTATTTTAGCCAAAACCAAGCAAACCACAATAAGGCTTAGTAAAATTATAGTTCCAGCCAATCAAATTATGGTCTACTCTGAAAATGTATTTCACATGTTATGTGTCTTGTACTGCATTAATTTATCATGGTAAATTATTACTGTGTATTATTATGTACTTTCTCTTCCAGATACAGAAGTTGGAAAAAAACTAACCCAGAGTTTTCATGCAAATTGCTAGGTACAATGAAAATAGGTTGAGTGTGTTTGGTTGCTTAGCTACATCTGTTTGATGTCTGCAATACATAAATACTTACTTTGGCAAATCAAAAGGATTGACTTGTTATTTTACAGTCACCTAGAGACCCAATTTAACTTCCTTATAATGCTTTCACAGTGTACACAGCCTAATTTTAAATATCATAATGATCAATGGAACACAATAATTTGACAGTTTTTTCAAAGCAAGGATCAAGCTACATCAATTCTAATAACATCAAGTCTGCAATTCTAAAGTTAATTACTTGAAAAGAAACCCCAATAAATAAACTTGTTTCTGAGAGAAAAATGCATAAGACTGGGCTGCAATAAGTTTGGATTTCAGTACTGATCAGAGGGATGCAGCACAAAAGCAATACTGCACATTTTCTTTTATAAGCCATTGTTCTAACAAGGAGACATTTTGTGAGGTTCCTAAGATATCTAAACATGTGTCTATTTTTAAAGAGCTGCAGTCTGCTTGATGCAGAGGTAAGAGACAATGAAAACTGCAAGGTGGAAATGGAGTTTATAATTGGATAAATTTTCTCAGCTCTAACACTGGTTAATTCCTTATTCTACTGAGAACATGCCATACTGTTCTAACAAAACAGACAAAATTCTGTGGTTAATAATAAACTGTGACAAAATACTGAATAGCCTTGGCAGCAAAAGCAAGAATAATTTATTTTTAAAACTCAACTAAATGATTCTCCACATAGAAGTATCTTTCATGCATTTCCAGGTAAAGCAACCCTATTCTCAGATAAGTTGGCACAGATCTGTCTGCATATTTGACTTTTAACATTATTATACATAGGATTAATTGGTCCTTTGGTTGTAAGAACAAAACTATATTCTCCACAGTAATATCAAGAAAAAATGCTCTGTACTTTCTGCATGTGTTGGTGCAAACAAAGATAAGGCAACTGTCTCTAGAGTCTTTCCCATATAGAGCCTGCAAGTTTTAGACAATAACCTCCATCAGTCCCAGCCACATTCTATAGGATGATGGAAGTTGCAGCCCCATATGTATTAAAAGTTGTTATGACCACCCTAAATTATAATCAGATTCAATTTTTTTTCAGAAAATATTTACAGGAAGAACAAACTACAATCATTTTCAGCAGTGCTACTTTCTACTATTTGTTGCCCTGAGTTATTTATAAAAACAATAAATATAAAAAATAATAAAGGTGGAATATAACTGATGTTAAAGCCATATATAATATGCCTTGTAATAAAACTGTATGAAGCACAGTAATTTAACAAGAATTTTATACACACGATTATTAGATTATGTTCCCATTTAATTATATTCCAGCACCTTTTATTTTATCTTAATTCTTATTCTGGTACCAAAATACTTAAAAGATACAACAAAGACACTTCTACTTTTCTACACATTTCTCTCCCTTTTCATTAATCCCATACATTTTCTGCATCTGGACTAATGGGAGTTCAGTGTATGGGTCTTTATCATGTTTCTAATGGTTGTAAAGCATATGCTTATTGCTTAAAAAGTATCAGTATCATCCTCTTATAGGCCCCAAATATACAGTATATTTACCCATACCTTTCCTGTAGATAGCCTAAGAAAATAAATTCTGCATGAGGAAATCTAATCCGGGGAGAAAGAAGCAGTTGTGGAAACTGCTATGTAGTAAAGACCTGAGGAAGGAGCATTTTAAAGCAAGTCAAAAGATAAGAAGTGGGTGGAGAAGAGGATGGATGCCAGAGCTAGGGGAACCCAAATAAGATGGAGAACCCGAGGGATTCCTTTCCGTCATAAAGGGGTTCCATCATGGGATCCTCAAACCGGGGATTCCTTCTCCTAAAAAGTAAACTAGACCTTTTCATTCCAAGCAATGCTTCAAAGAAAGAGGCCCTAGAGGTCATCCATTCCGACTCCAACTTCGGCCACACTGGCCTTCCCCCCCCCCCCTTTTTTTTGTCCCCCCCCCCAGGGCATTTCCAATTAAAACAAAAACAGCCAAGAAGCTAATCTTGGGAGTTTAGGGGAAAGGAAGAGCTACACTTCGATTCGGTTGTGCCTAAGAGGAAATACTTGGCGACCCGCAATAGGGGTCGGGAAGGTGGGAGACAGAAAGCCCCCCCCCCCCATGGGGCCCCCAAACCCCCCCCCCCCGAGCCCCCGCGCCCCCTCTTCGCGAGCACCCTCCCCCCCCCCTTCGATCCCACCGCAACTCAGCCCCTCACCAAGCGGAGCTGGCTGGTCTCGTCGTAGGAAAGGAAGCCGAGGATGCTCTCGATGGCCACAATGGGCAGCCCCACCAGCGTGTTGCTCTGCGGGAGCTGCTCCAGGGACGGTGCTTCCCCGCGGGGCTGTGGCAGCGGAGGTGGGGAGAGCCGCGCCGAATCCATGGCGCCTCCTTCCCCTTCCGACAGGAGCCGCTCAGCCGCTACAACTGCCGCCATCTTGGGGCCTATTCCCTTCCTCGGCTCCGGGAGGGGGCACTTCCTGTGGCAACGTTACCGCCTCCTTCTTCGGCGACACAGTTAAAGAGACAGGAGGCCCCCGCGCTCTCCTGCAGCTTCGGAGTCGAGTTGTTCGCGCAGCCTTTCGAATTCCGCAGTCTCAGGTTTAGGCTGCTAGCTTGAGGCTTCTCTGCAAGCCCGTTCCAGACGCCTTTCGGCTACTAGTGGTTGTCGAAGTATTCAAACTTGCAGGAATAGGCCAGCACAGTTTCTCTCCTCTCCTGTTCACTTGCCGACTGGCAAAACGATGCCGCCGGTTGGAGAAGAAGTCAGCCGAATTGGGCAGGACGACCCGCAAAATGCACGCAATGCAACTCGGGTTCTAAAAGATGTGACCCCCCCCCCCCCCAATTTACTACAGTGACATCAGGGAAGCCTAATTCTCTAGGTTTGGAATGAACTCCTTTTACGGTTACCAAGAGTCAGTCCTTGCAAGCCCTAGAGAGATTCCCATAGATTCCCTCATGTATGGAGGGCGAGTGAGCAGGAGAAATGTCAGGCAGTAATGGAGCCGTTCAGTTCAAGTTGGGAGGGGGGGAAAAACACCTCTTCAAAGATGCCTTCTAGTTCTGTGAATAATCTTTTGCTTGGTTGTCACTAAGCGATCTTCAACTTTTCTGGTTGAACTGGTTTGCAAGTCGAATTACAAGACTTTGCAAGCAGGTATGCCCTAGGTATGTCATAGTTCCTAGGAAACTATGTGTGATAGACACTCGTGAATGACTGCATTCTTTGGATATATAATCACTGTGTGGCTAATTACAGTACTGTACCACTTAGACAAGTGGATGCATAGCTCTACTTGTAAAAGTAAAACGTGCTATTAAAATGCCAGGAAGATAAAATCAATATGAAAAAGTATTAAGTTTTACCTATTAATTAGAGCTAGTTATTAGGGTTGGTAAGCCCTAATACATTAAAGGTGTATATACATTCTCTCATTGTTCTATTGACTTGGCAGAAGACACATTATGGGAATTTAATACAAACTCCTTACATTTGGGTTGGATTCACACATCACGCTAAGCCAAAGTGGATTTGTTTGATTTTATTTAATGTGGGTGAAACAAATCTTATTTTAAATCATGTTTATGGCATAGTGCAATGACAATCTAATCAGTTGTGGCTTGTTTAGTAAACTAATGTTATTAAACTGGTTTATATTATAAGCCTATTTTTTGAGGAAATTCTTTTCTGATCTTGTATCTATAGTTATTCTTCCCTTTAATTTTCAGGTAAAACAGGTGTTTATTCCCTTCTTCCCTCTCTGAATATATGTCTGAAACTCAGATGGGTTGCAATGAGAGGGATAACTTGGTGAAGTAGCAACAAGAACAATGGTAATGCTGGTTTACAAGTGTTACTAATTTACATTTGCAATTATGGTAGAAATACTCACCAATAAATGAAAAACAACAGGGTGTCTCTCTATGCTTCAATTTCAAAAGCAAGCATCACTTTAAATTAGTCACATGTAATTTTATTTATTTATTAGAAATTTTATATTGCTGCCTATTTGCACATGGTGACTCAAGAAATTTTACAGAGGTATAAAACATCATATAAAAAAATAAAAATAATCAAAGAAAATAATCAAATAAATTAATAATATAATATAATAGCCCCCCAACCCTCACCCTGATGACAACACATCACACCAGCCATTTAATGGGCTCCATCCTGCTCTGGGCTTCCCAGGTCTGCTGGGAGAACCAGGTCTTCAACACTTTCCAGAAGACTGTTAGAGTGGGGGCCATTCTAATCTCTGGAGGAATTATGTTCCAGAGAGAGGGAGCCACCACAGAGAAGGCCCTTCTTCTGGGTCTGACCAGATGTATCTCCCTTGGGGATGGGACCCACAACATTCCTTGCCTTCCCGCTTTAGTGAGTCAAGTAGATGTGACCGGCAAGAGACGGTCCCTCAGATAATCTGGTCCCAAACCATGAATGGCTTTAAAGATGGCAACCAGGAATTTGAATTGTACCCAGAAGCAAATTGGCAACCAATGCAGCTCCCGCAGGAGAGATGATACATGTTTACACCGAAGTCTACACAATACCATGCGGGCCATTGCATTTTGCACCAACTGGAACTTCCGGATTCTATTCAAGGGCAGATTTCTCATAATGGGCAGATTTGTGCTTCCATTTGTGATTTTTATCTTGGAGTTCTTGTATATATATTAAATTCTAAATATGTGACATTGCTTAGTATATATCAGGCAGAAGTTGTAAGAAGTTTGCCAGATTTTAAAATCGGCAAAAGTGCAATAATGACAACATAATAATGCACATACAATAATAAAAATTACATAAGCAGCCATTACATAGTTGCATCATAGGTGATACAAGCATGAAAATTATACTCGCATCACCTATTTTATTTGATGATGTCAAATGCATGGGTGGCATTTGCAATCCTGTTGTTGCCTAGGGATCTAAAACGCTTTGTGAATTCTGTTGCTTATCATTACTTTTTAGCATCTGGAAATGAGTTGTTATCTGTAACTGGTTGATCCCAAAAAAAGTAAACAGTACTAATAGTTGGATAGGAAACCACTAGCAAATACTGCGGCTGTAGTTGTTTTTTTAAAAAAAGAAATTATTTTTATTACTTCAATTTAAATAGTTGCGTTGGAATATAACTCAGGGCAGCATAATCAGTAAATAACCCACAGTTGAATTCATCACAATAAACATTGGGGAAAAAACTAAGGATATAAAGTAATTAAAATAAATCCTGGGATATTAAATTCTATTCCACACAATTCAGATCTGCTGCATCTGACTTACATAGTCTCTTTAGGCTAAAAGAGGACAAAAGCCTCAGTAAAGTGACTTCCAGTATTCCTTACAATCTCCTTCAGTAGGGAGAGACAACAGCTCTACCTGGATAATATAGCTACAATTATGATTCCCCACAATGCTCTGAGACAATGTTTCTCAAATTTGGCAGCTTAAGTGTGTGACTGAACTTCAACTTCTAGAATTCCCCAGCCACACATCTTCAAGCTGCCACGGTTGAGAAACACAGATCTAAGGCATTGTGGGAAATTTTAAGTAAGGGTTGGACACAGAAGCTGGCATTACTTGAAGCAGTAGATTAATAGAACATCCCTGAGAGCTTGCCAGAAATACTAGGTGTTGATCCCTGCCTCAAACTTTTATCTGCTAAGGCAGCCCTGGGTAATTTGTGGTTTCGACACATCTGCAGTTTAAAATAATTATTGGAGTTACCAGTGTGGTAATAATTATAATTAGACCCTTTTAAACCACATGAAAGGTGTGTAGGGCGTCACACAAGAAAAATCATGGTATACAAGAAAAAATCTGGAAGGAATTTTTCCAGGAAGAAGAGGATATCTAAGGGTCAACATGGGGAAAGATTCATAAATGGGTCCCTTGAGTCTTTATTAGTTCTTGCTATGAGTACATTTCTCCTGGATCCTTGTAATCAGCCCCAAAGAAGGTTGTAATTAATTCAACTGCAAGTATTTCATAAGTTAATTGGCTAATTCTATTTAAATTGAAGGTCATCACTGTCAGAGATGTATCTAAGAAATTGCTGTAGCCACAGTAATGAATGCAAATCCTTTACTGCACCTATGATTTTGAGCCTTTTAAAAATTTCTTTCCTTCAGCTCCTAGTTTACTCAATCCCATGATAATTGAATGTTTAGATTTTCATGCAAATTCTGAGGATGATCAATTAAACTATAGAATGACTTCAGGCAAGCTTTAGCCTAGTAAGCTCTCTTTCTAATATAAGCATGGATTATATATACAGTTTTCCAAATGAGATCTGATACTGAGCAGATTTTCTTTATTTTTCCTTCCCAGTCTATTGATTTGCCTTTTAAAACCCTAAATGGCCTATAAGGAAGATATCTCAAGGATGTTATCAGTCTCTCTGGATTTACATAAGCTTCAGAAGCATGGTGTAAATTCTCAGTACCTGAAGCGCATATCGGGTGCACACAGAGGTTTTATCTCTTTCCTGCTCACTTTTTGAGGGATATCAGGCTGAAAAATGCAGATATTTTTGTTTTTATTAATGAGTTACCTACTGTAAATTATGCTGTGGTTTTATTTTGTTTTCAAAGTCATAATTGAATAGCAGAACCCAAATATTTTAAAATACTACTATTAAAAAACAGTAAACAGAAGTAAAACATCACTATGGGATGTGTTCATCTTAGTCCAGGCTACTTTAGAAGTGCACTCTAAATATTTCTAAAATCCATTAGGGGACAATCTGTGTGGTTGTGTGAAGACAATGTGGATTGTGTAGATGTATAAAATCAGAAAGAATGTGACAAAAAGGATAAAGTATGATAAACATACTTCATTAAAAAAAAACCATGGGGTTTTTCACATACCATACTAAACCAAACTTATAGCTTGATGCAATATGTAAATAGAATGTATGTGGACACCCATCTGAGAAAGGTAGTGAAAAATGACTCTTAATGTATTGTAATTTAGTTCATTTGGATATTTTGGATGCCTTCATGGAATGTTGTTGAGAATGGGTTTGAACGGTCATAACTGGAATTTTAAGGCAGGAGTACCAGTTAGAAATGTTACCTAATAAGACATCGTGTTCATGGTAAAATTTTCATCATAAAGAAACTAATGAAACAAAGCCCAAATATCTGTGATTTTAGTTGTGGTTTTCCTGTGTTGGATTTATATATTGCTAGCAGTATGATTTGATTAAGTGCCAACTTTCACAATATCTATTGTGGCATTATCTTTAAGGGATATAATACCACTTCCCCATTCAAGATTGGAATGCAATCTAGCGACTTCCTGCACCCACAGCTCCTGCTTTCTAAGCAGATAGCAGCTGTAGCCAAGAAGGTCTTTGCATAACTTTATCTAGTGTGCCACTTGTGGCCGTTCCTAACTGAGAAGTTCCTAATTGGGAGGCTTTTCAGTCATTCATGCCTTGGTGATCTTCCAACTTGATTACTGCAATGTGTTCCACATGGGATTGTCTTTGAGGACTCAAAGAAAGTTCAACTGGTTCAGAATATGGCAACGTGAGCAGTTAATCTAGTACAGCTATGCATTACCTCTCCTCTGAGAGCGGCATTGATTGCCAGTTTGCTTCCAATTGTGATTTAAGATGATGGTCACTATGTATAAAGCCCCACATGGCATAGGATCCAACTGCTTGTAGGACTGCCTGTTTCCCTTAGTATCTGCCCACCACTTTGAACTGACAGGATTGGCATGCTCTGTGCTCCTTCAATTAAACAATATTATCTACCAGGAGCTCAGAAGCACATACCTCTGTTGGAGGAGTGGAATGAAATCCACCCAAGAT